AAAACTCAGTAGACCTACTCAGAGTCTACTCAGTAGACCATCATGTTCTTCCGTGTATACAAGTTGTATAATACAAATTGTATTATACAATCGATTTGTACCTTTTTTGGAAACATCATAGATATCATGGCGTGGAGTTGTTCGATACTCAGTACCCTTTACTGTGTAGTAACGCCATAAGGCCGAGATACTTGGTACTTGGTGTTGGACTGACTCGGAGTCACTCAGAGACCGCTGATACTAGTGACGATGTCTGACACGTAGTCGCGAGCTCGTATTGTACTACAATACGAGCAATACAATAATCAATGCTACAATAATTGTAGCATTGTGAAGCAATATGACAAGCCTCAATTCGAGGCTTGTCATATTGCTTCTTACCATTAAACCATCTTTGAAGAACTCGTTCAGAAGACAGCCTATTCCTAATGATGCCGCTACTCTTTGCGCCTGGAGAACTACTCCCATCTCTGATGCCAGCTCTTCTGCGACAGGGCCAGCGACTCCATAGCGAGGGCCATAATTGCCGCAGCTACCTTTTTTCGACCAGCGGTGTTCAGATCCCCCGGTGCCGGTGCTCTGTCTCTTCCGCGCGATCGCAAAAGCAAGGCGAACTGATCTGTCGTGGCTTTGATCAGTAGGTCGTGATCATCCGAATAAAACACATGTTCAGTAGTCACTGGTCCCAACAGCCCCTCTAAGTTAGAGGTTCTAACCTCGCCCTCAGGCGCCTGATCAGTTCGTCCCGGAAAGACCCCAGACCTATTTCCCAACACTTGTTCCACAACCCTTGCCCATCACTTCTACCGTTGGTCGTCATACCGGCTCTGGGACACTTCAAGGAATACCTACAGTAGGTGACCTACTACTGTGGATATACTTAACAGAAAATGAGGCAAACCTATTAGAAAAATAAGATTGGGTGACGCCGTCACTCAGTCTGGCTGCCGAAACCTCCCCATGACGGTCATCCAGTGACCCAGTAGGGAAAAACCGCATCTTGAAATCCCATGATACCCAGTCGAGCGAGTTTACGTGTTGCGAGGTTCTCAAGCATGATGCTTGAAGCATCTCGTTGCCTCCGGTAATCGCCCTTGTCTCTTGGTCTCTACGAGACCGCCTCGTCCATCTCAAGGTCCTTGCCGGAACCTTGGTATCCCCCCGCGGTTGCAAGCCCGAAGTCCATGACTCATGGACCATGAGCCTCTCTTCTCGGGCCATGACTTCGAATTCGCCATAGCCAGCAGTGCTGGTTACTGCTCGTGGTGCATCGAGAGACCCTGTCCGGTGTTCGAGGCGCTCGCCCGACACTTCATTATGAAGTGTCGGGCAGAGCGCCTATGAAGTCTTCATATAGTCTGGTGAGGCTCTGCAGAATTTGGGATTCAGATTCCCGGCTCGCTACGATCTCGCTTGTTCCAACTCCCATGATGGGCCTTTCCATTGAGAAATAATTACACAAGAAAGTAAACTCAGTAGTAACCACTGAGTGGTTTTGCTCTTGCCAGAGGATCTCATTAGTGGGTCTAAAGACAAGTTGACAACGGCATTCGAGCCGGATTCTAGCTCGCAGCTGTTAGAAGAGTTGTGTCCTTGTTATTCAGTTCCGTAGTGGAAGCGCAAGGTGCACAGAGGGGGTCCAGAAAGTTTACAGACATTTTTTGAATTATTCGAATCGGAAGGCAAGCCCATGGCCTATTCAAACAGCGTAACCAGGTCTAGACACTAGGCGGTTTCTAAACAAGATTCCCACTACCCTCTAACAAACAACAGACATTCACGATGTACTCGAAGACGCAATACCAATTATCCATAGAAACATTATACTCGCTATAGAGCGGAATGATCGTTTGCAGTTGAGGTTATCACACGGCATCACGCTGACTGTCAGTCAGTGAGTGACTGAGCACGTTCTTTTAAAGCAGTGCCAATAAGCCTACCTCTACTCGCCCATTCATACAAATCACTATCGAGTCTTCCCCGTGACCCCTTCTGCCTCAGCCAACTTCTCGACCTCATCCAGGATCTTCTTAGCACTGTCGCAATTAGCTGTGCTCAGCACCGGACCATAGCCGTGCTCACGGAGAACTTTCGCAGCCGAGCCTGTACAAAACATTAGCACCCAAGAAAGGCAGACGGGATGATTCACCTGATCTCCTGCCAGAGGCACAATAGACCTGAACAGGAGCATCCTTGGGGACTGCGGACATCATCGACTCGACTTGGCCGACTGGAATATTGAGAGCGGCGGGAAGAGGCGCTGGAAGAAGAAGACATGCAACAACAGTAACAAATGAGTTACGAAAGGAACGGTACGAAATGGAGCGCTCATATTCAACCTACGTCTGAATGCCAGCTCGCCAGGGCTTCTAACATCGACAACCGTGACCTTCTTCCCCTTCGCAACTTCAGCAGCTAGATCAGCAACAGTTGTGGAATCGCTCGATATCACAGACCCCATTATAGCAACGGCAATCAACGCTGCCACGAGAGGCAACAACTTTCCCATAGAGCAAGTCGACCGCGATGAAGGAGAGCTCATTACTTTAAAAGTAACAGAAACACAGTGAACTGAAAATTGACACCAAACATCACGACCCTCAGCACCATCACAAGACTGGAACTTTTGGTCAAGTTAACCGACCACCTTTACGTGAAAGTCTATTACATCGATGCGCACCAGGCGCTGGGAAAACGGTGTGGAAGCTCCTCACATGGTAAACTAATGTGAGCATTATTATTTGATCGTGGCCTTCACATCTTCTTCGCAAGTTCCTCGGCCTCTCTAGCAGCCTTTTTAGCAGCGTCACGATCTGTTACATTCATAACAGGTTTACGACCAGCTGCTCTCAACGCGTTACCAGCGCGCTCTATGACAACAACAAATAAATTGTGACGACACACTCATGCGCACAGCTTACTAGCTCTCATTCCAACAGCACAGTGAACGATGATAGGCCCCTCGGGAACTTCACTCATCCTATCGTTGAACTCAGCGATAGGGATATGGATGCTGCCAGGGTTTGGCGCTGAGAAATTCATCGACTCCACAAGAGCGAAGATGAGCTCTTCAACGATTCTTACGTTTTGCCTTCACTTCATCGTCAGTTCTAACATCAACAATTATGAGCTTCTTTCCTTTCGCGATTTCAACGGCCAGATCAGCCGTAGAAGTAGAATCGGCCGACATCATAGAGCCGAGTACAGCAACAGCGATCAATATCACGAGAGGTAACAACTTCCCTACAGTGCCGGTCAACCAAGAACCGATAAGAACGACTAAGGACAGAAGGCCTATATTCGTTAGAGGCGACGATGAAGCCATCGCGATCGGGATAGTAGACACACTACGAACTAGGAGACAACAACTGCTTTTTCAAACAACCCAAGAATAGCTGCTTCACAAGTATTTCATCTCCGTTAACCATGACCATGGTAAAAGTATATCATGAAACTCGCTCGGTTTTCGAAGAATTCGGCAACTGGCTGCGACTGATGCAAGGCTTCACATTCTCTTCGCGAGCTCCTCAGCCTTCTCAACAGTCTCCTTAGCTGCAGCGCAATCAGTCACATCCATAACAAGATGATAACCAGCTGCTCTCAACGCGTCACCAGCGCGCTCTACGACAACAAGACATGAAATCGGACGTGTACTCGAGTGCACGGCTTACTAGCTCTCATTCCGACAGCACAGTGAACGATAACAGGGCCCTTGGGAACTTCACTCACCCTGTCGTTGAACTCAGTGATAGGGATATGGATGCTTCCAGGGTTTGACCCTGAGACGATAACTAAATCAACAACTATCCCATAGAAACACTCGGGAGTCTCTACGCTTATTCTTCACTTCATCATCACTTCTAACATCAACAATGATGAGCTTCTGACCAGCCTTCACAGCCTCAGCGAGATCCTCAAGAGTAGCGTTAGACATGACAAAATAGTTAGATAACGACAACTACAACCACAGTAATGCCAAGCAGCGAACTGCCCTCTGCAGAGTTAATCAGCAAACCATATACACCAATCGCAGCTCATGTTACTCACGCGGGAATCCGACACAAAAAGACACCTACACAACCAGCAAGCACCTAGAAACCACTGTGAACTCCCGAGGAAATTCTCTCGTCCCTTTCAATCCTTCTTCTTCAGTGACACCTTCGGGAGCTCCACTCTACCACTGAATGCGTCTACATCCCATCATGCATGGCATGCGAGCACGGCGCACACTCAAAAGGGGTACTTTGCTCAATAGCCAACACGATATAGATAACCACAGCCCTCAAGTGAAGCCAATACCGGACTCTACCAAAACCATACACCTCTATTGATGAACTCAGCTAGATGTTTGAATGAAAATGACCATTCCCCTCAACAACAGCAACAGCGATAGCTGTAGTCTTCACCGCGCCACAAAATTATTCAGCCTTTAAATCACCGCGCCTATGAGCCGCGAAACGACGGTAAAGAACGTCAAAGCGAGTGAGCAGTTTCTGACCATCCAGCTCGCCGTCCTCATGAAAGTAGTTTCCTATGCTCTCTCTGATCTCCTAATCACGACACAAGATTATTGCACGCATGCACATGAGTATCTTGACGTCACCTCGGACAAATTCGACTGGTAACTTCGCAACCTTAACACCAAGTTTGAGCCGAATCCCGGCATTTCCACATCAACGAATATTCTCTCGCCAGTCTGAGCAAAGGCAACTTGCACCATTCAACTACTGCTCCGCCACCACCAGCAGCATCTACCTCGCGGTCACTGATCTGCATGCCGCTCGACTTCATCCATAACATGTCTACCACACAAGTGATTCCAGAAAACAGGAAGTACCCCAGGACACAAAACCTCAGCAGAGAGGCATCCTGAAAAGTTAAATGTTGAAAGATACAAAACTGGTCGCGTACCGCGGGGAACTTGAGAAAAAATTGGCCGATAACGCCCGCCGTGCAAGCCAAAGTCATAAGGACTATTCTCATCCAAGGGAGACTCGTGTTCTCAATATATCCCAAGGCAGGTAGTGCCTGAATTGAGCAAGGAGTGGTATGAAATGCTGCTAGCCAGGGCCTGTTACCTCCCCCAAAAAGTCATTGACCGTCTTGACAACCTCGTAGGATGAATATAGATTGCCGGCCGCGCCTGACAAAATACCGTTGGGGTCCGAAACTCGCCAAAGAGTTTGGACTAATGAGCAGCCGAAATGTCAACAACCATGCACAGCAATCACGTCGGTGCTAATAAAATGTCGCCTACCAGCGAGCTTACGTGGTTCAATCCCATGAGGGACTTCTACGCGAGGGCCGCTGGCTCCTCTATCCCCTCTCTGATTCTGTTGTTGCTTCTTGTTGTTGTTGGCAGTAGCAGAGCCTCCTGCCATAGTAAAGACGCCAAGAAACTGACCACGCCCTATGCTAACTTCGACAATACAACAACGGGCATCAAGTGACAACAAAGGAATAATCATAACATTGGGGGTAATGGTCATCATCATCTACATGTGAGAGCGGCTGATCTCCTGACGCCGTCAACGATCTGGAGTATCATCTGTCCGATACCTGTGGTAATGAAATCAACCTCTTCCGTATCTTACATAGGCAACCCTAAGATACCCCCTCACTTATCAAGGAGTTGTCTAATACTCATTTCTGCCTCTTCCAGCGATCCAGCCTTCTTCTTTTCCCCTCTCCCTTGCCCTCTACTCTTACTGTATCGTATAGCCTTCAAAGGGCTTCCACTGAAAGCCTCCCCACCCGTCGTCAACATCGACGAGCTCGGCGGCATCGACGGCTGCGAACCACACATGATGCTCCTCGCGGTCGCCGCTCTCGTCACTGTCTCGCTGGTGCCTACACTGCACCATCCAGTCACCATTTCCCCGATACTCTCCCTACATGGTCGAGTAAGGTAGTCCCCGGCACTATCTGTCGTGCTCCCTGTGAACGGCAAACGTGCCGAAATGAAGGAGCCCTAACACAAGGCTGACACATCATCAACCCACAAATTCTAAGCCCACATTATCCCAGCTATATCTGCCTTGCCCTGTCGCCCGCTTCCTGGCCTCTTCCACTACCAGGGATATCTCATCCCGGTCCGATCCACTACCTTCCTCTCCCATGCCATCAGCCTACAGCCAACTACGCTGAACTTGCCGAGCGCTATCAGCAACTTGCCTTATCCAAGTCGCACGGCGCCGTAGTGGTTGCCAATAGCTTATCAAGTTCCGGCCGTAACTGGGGAGGACACCTTAGACGATCTCCTCAACTCACATACCGACCATCTCTCTACGATCCAATGCACTAGACCGATCCACGGCTAAGCTCCCTCGCCTCCCTCGGTACAGTTCATATCTGAAGCACTGTGCATAAAAAGAGGAACTCTGATTATCCTTCACATTGTAAAACTAGAAGCTTGCGTTTGGGAAACGCAATCAACCCTCGTGTCGTCATCGAGGACCTCCAAATTCGTTACGAGATCGATAAGCTCCTTCAAAGAGGCTTTCCGAGTGACAGGATTGCCCTCGAGCGAGAGCTGCCATACACTACTGCCTGATAAGTGATAGGTAATAATACTAAAGGGTGATGCACTACAGAGGTCTCACATGTGGCGAGGGCTGAGAGGTCGCTGATGGTAGAGATTGAGTTGCCTTCCACGTCTACTATTTGGAGAGAGTCCATCCATTCAATGCCATGCATAGTGGTAAGACAATTAAAGGCAAGGTACCTTTACATGGGATCGAACTCGGGACCTCTCGGATGAAAGCCCAAGCCTTTAACTCACAGCTCTTGCAAGGTGGGCAGCAATGAGCTCATGCCCGAGAGGTCACTCAAGTGACTCCTGGACAAACTGAAGACACCGAAAGTGATACTCAACCTGCGTCGCTCCGTTCTACTTCAACACTATCAGCCCTCCTAACTTCGTCCCTAGGCTTCGAGCACCGCCTATGCATGAGCCCGCGAGACTAACACCAATAATGGCAGCCTATGGATGATTCCAGTCGAGAACCCACTTCAAAACAGTAAGAGCTGGTAGGTAATCTCCTATACTGCTAACATCATGGGCCTCGGTACTCAACTAAGCAGTCTCGATTCTCTCACTCCAACACTACCACAGCTACTTTCATTGTGATCTCAGTGACCTCCCCAAGATCCTTTCCATCTCCTTCGTCGCCGCCCTTTATATGTGCCTACACTCACTGGTTCGGGTAAGCTCGTCAGTCTTCGACCGTATACGATGTAGGTAACTTTGTTCCCTATGGTACCGACCTTCCCGTACTATTACTACCCTTATAAATTCTTCAGTAATGTCGCTGTCCATGCACTCAAGCACATCGTGGACTAAATCGCACCTCAACGGAGGAAGGGAGGGGGTATGGGCTGTTGATGATGACATAGAGCCATCACAGCTACTTCAGTCAACTACAGTAGGGAAGAATTCAAGACGCAATGCAAACCACGAGCTCGGATAGATGAGGGAGGATGCCAAGGATGCTTCACTGCACCAAAAACCAAAATCGACGAAACGCGGGTCGCTTCGCTCCGCCAGCGCCACGAAATTGTCAATGTCTCGCGCAAGATTGCTCCATGCCAATGGCATGATGCCATGACTATCCCTCTAGAAGGTAGAGTAGATGTTCATTTCATAATCGAGCATGCTTAGGGAATCATGTAAGAGAGCAACTGAGCAAGGTATTGGCCAGCCATAAGCCCTACTTGAGTGGCTGTTGATGAACAGTCACTCACGTATTATCTACCATGCCAGACGTGTAAAATTCTGTTTCACCAAAAAATGTCTGCGTCCCCTCACCAAACCGTTAAACTTGAGTTGCGTTTCTCCATGCTAAAGACTCAATCTTCTACTTTCATCTTCCTCAGCGTTCACACTTTCACCTTCACATCCTTTCCAATGCACTTCCCTCGCTTCACCCCAACCATGCTGTTGATCGCCGCCCTCCTCATGGACTCCTCTGCTGTTAGACTACAACGCAGAGGTAAAGGCGGCCGTGTTTCCGAGCCCAAGACGAGCTTATTCTCCAAGATTTTCAATAGGTGATCAAACATGTCCCTTTGAGTAGTATGAAATGGCGATTATACTAACCGGAGTTCGTTGTTGATGTTGTCAAGCGTATCCGTGTGTCGTTCAAGTCATCCAATACCCTCTGGTGGAGTCGATAAGCTCCATCGTAGACCAGGCACTTCTCAACAAGCGGAGTAAGAAAGCTAAACCTCTCGAGGCTGCCAGTAAAATAGTAAATTCGTTACAACTTCTACCATACAACGGTTGTGATAGGTGTGCATGCCCTTCTCCAGTACCACACCATGTTGTGTTCGATCCTCACTATGTACGATGTACCATCCTCACTAACCTCAGTTAGCCCGCAGCAATGCTAAGGAGCCTCCAGCTTCGAAGCTGCCTAAGACTAATGCAAGTGAATACGTTACGACCTTATGGTCAGCCCATCACGACTAAGCTCCCCTATGAACCCTGGCCCTACGACCATCGGTACCTTGGGATGACGGCGAGGTAGTAGGGGGGAACAGAAGTACGCTTGTGGTTGCAGGGAAAAATTTCGTAGTAACCCCCCCCGTATCGGTCCTGGTGTTGTATGGCTTCCTTTGAACTCCCTTGAGCCTCTTTATTAGGATAACCTCTATACCCTCCTAGAGTGTGTTCTCTCTCGCGTTGAGTTTACTCCTAGGTGGTTGGTATTTGTCAGGGAAGTTATCAGCAAATTCAAAGTAGTCTCCTTCCCTCTGAGGAACTTCCCGAAGCCCCTGCTGGACACCACGGTTGATGAGATATATCAAAAGAGCTCTAAGCTGCACTTCAAGTCGTGCATCTACGCCATGCAACTCCTACAGAAGGGGAAGTACCCCTGCACACGTCTCCATTGATACCATAGCCACCACTGATAGGTACGATAGAGTGCGGACGATCAGGTCTGAGGACTACTATAAACCTCCGAAGCGGCCGAGGTTCTTCCAAAGGCTTAATAGGATGCGACGGTGAGGACGATGCTTCTGCCGCCAGGATGGTATGAGCTACAATAGGTCGACCAAGCTGGGTATCAAACGGAATGGTCTCAAACGTATCTGTGGCCTCACTGGAAAGACTCGAGACGTAAGTCGCGCTCCTTCGCATCGTCGTTCATCATGGCCATTGTCGTTGTTTTCAGGAGTGATCACCATTATAGCTTCGCCTTCTAGCATGTTTCTGACTCAATCTGACTTGCATGTTGTCAATTTGGAGACCAACTCGTTAGAAGGGCATAGCCGACGGCGAGGGAACGCACATGAAATCAATGGTATAGGGATTGCCGTGCTCAGTCCCATATAGTGAATGTATCAGAATGCTGAGTTCACGCTGGTCCACTCAGAGTGTTGGCGTAGTGCCGCTCTCATACTCGCACAACTTACGGGAAAGATGTCATCAGTGATTGGTGGTCGGCATGGCAGAGACCCACGATCTCTCGAATGCTCATTCAATGAACTTCACTCTCTTCATCAGAAATACCCGACCATCCCGAGCGAGTGGAAGGATCCTCCATACATTCTGCTATATGGTTGCTATACGTCAATGTTCGTGCCGCGTCTACAGGCTGCTGTATCTGTGGTGATGTCGTTATAGGATCCGTTGGGTTGCCCTTCATGGCCGACTTCGAAACTGCAGTGAGTCCCCCGGAGACCGCAGGTCCCTGCTCAGTACGCTTCGGGGAGTTCAAATTCCGCAACGGGGGCCGATACCGTGGACAGTAACGTTGGTTGCATTGGAGTTGATAGAGCTCGGTGCATGCTAGATACATCCTAGAAGCAATGCAAGATGGGGATACAGGAAACGATGAGTCTACCCAGTATCGTAAAGTTATCCATGGCGAAGGGGAATACTACAATAAAGGTAGACGCACATATTAGGCTGTGATTAGCTCGAGGAGTGGTAGGCAATCACTTCAATGGCATCTGGCATCGAGGAGCTCGCCGTTACGGCACGCAAAGGTTCAAAAACGGCGACTGCTATACTGGATATTTCAGCTGCGTAAAGGCAGAAGGTGACCCACGAATGGTTCAAGAGTGAGCTGAACCACTGCATCAGCAGATGGTGATCCGATCAAGGTGTTGTCCAATACGTACCAAGGCTATGGAACATATAAATGGTCCCTTCCCAGAGGTCGCCATCAAGGAGATAAAATGTAAAGTGAGTGACGCCGGTCTAGTGGACGGCTGGTCAGTTACGTGGGAATGTGGCACGATGGCAAGATGCACGGTTTGGGCAAATACTCGTATTTTGTGGAAGGTGTCAACTGCAAGGAGTTCAACGGCGTTAGTCTAGAAGGTCGGCATGGCAGTCGCTGTCAAGACCTATTACGCTACGGTAGGCTCATTCGACTCTGGTCGGGACGCCGAGAGCATTGCTGAGTACATGGTTTGGTACGAAGACCTCCTCAAGCCGGGGCTTGTGAATGCGGTTAGGAATTTAGGCGAGAAGGTCGCTGCTTTGATTGCCGGAGGTGAATGAGATATCTTCGGGTATCCTCATGGTGCAAATTATAGGAGTTGATGCGAATGACCCCAATCGGGAGGCATTAGCCACTGAGTTGCTCATGAGGGAGTCAAGCGAGCTCAAAGCAACTGAAGATGAAGAGACAGACTCAGTGTGAGTCTATTGGAGATAGTTTTATCACGGGCGTTCCCTTATGGAGATCAAGACTGGCTGCAGGTGGACACGACCATCAGTTGGAACTGTGGAGGCCCCTGCATGCCTCACCCCGGAAGCCAGAGCGGCTCTTCCAACCGTTCGAGCGCTATTGGCACGGAGGATGCTGGTCGCCGCTATCGCTAGCATGATCGATGATGACAGCGTAGGGCGTAGCTAACCGCTGTTCGAGAATCTTCGATGCCAGACTGATCCGGTTGAGACTTCCAAGGGGGCCGAAGGAGAGTCCAATGATAGACTGGTGTTTGATATACTCGATGATGAGGATGCGAAAGACCTCACTGGTTCAGCCCAACTTCGTATATCATATCAGGTGGGCGTACGTTGCCGCACTCGAGCATTCCCGTTATTCAGCAGATTGTTCGAATGAGCGTCGCATACCCCGATCCTCGTGAGGAAGGGACTGGTCCAATTCGCGGGTATTTTGACTTTCTGAACATCAACGAGGACGCCGTGGATGGACACACGTGCGAAAGACTCTCGAGTACGTTTTCGACGTGTTCACGGCAGGTGCGACTGGAGGTTGCTTCGAGTTGACTGCGGCTACGAGGATACCATGGACGAGAGAGCGGAATTGGAAAACCTCATAGTGTCTAGCAGTCGTGGCAACAAGGGGAAGAAGAAATGACTCTCGCTACAGCATGTGTGAATACCCAGTTCGTTGCTCCAATATGTTCTGCGTTACTATACTTTGTTTGAGGTCGATCAAAACTACTCCCAACGAGAACAGCATGCCGAAGAAGATTTCGCGGAGCGGGTGAATCATCCGGGATAACACATGCTGTTAGAAAAAAACGAAGATTGTCTCCGAGGTGTCTTTGCCTCCCCAAGAGCCAAAAGCGTAGGGATGTATGTAGCAGTGAGTATACACGTACGAGTTCTTCATGAGGAGCTCGCGAACGCCTCATAATTGTTTTCAATCGAACTAGGAAACTCATACAGCACCGAAATCACATATCATTATCCTCATCCCTTGATGGAAGAATTGCTTCTTGGAATGAGCCGGGAGTGTGAAGCGAAAGGAGCTCGGAAGACGTTACAGTCCGCTATGTCCCATTCCACCCCAACCAAATCAAGAATTAACCATATCAGAAAGCTGCCCAATGAATCTTAGATCGATTATGACCATGGAAAAGCTGGACTCAGAGACTTCTCAAGCTATGAAGTTAATGATACTTTAGATAACGACGAAAGGATAAACAGCAAATAGCCATACTAATATTGCTGAAAGACCCTTATCGTTCTAACAATTTCACAGCAGCCAAACCAACAACTACTGTATGGTAGAGCCATGACCCTTGAAATGCCTAAACGGCTGAGAGAGGCCTAATTATAATACTCGATCACACCTTGAACTGAGGCGTAGGTCCCCAGTACGAAGGCGATTGTTCCAACGACTATCAGTACATAGCATATGATATGCTCGAAGTCAAAGGTAAGGATGGGCTTCTTGGATATCTTCAATATAAAGGCCGCCGGGGAATAAAATGTGACAATCGAACCGGTCAAAGAGCCGACCAGTCCCAACATAACATTTACATCAGGTAATGCAATGGCCACAGCGTAGGACAGACCAATGATGAATACCACTACTATCCAGCCGTATACACGCCTTCTAAAGGACGTCTTCGGAGGGAGAACAGCCGAAATGGCATGAACGATGGAGCTCCTCTGAGGGTAGACCACCAGGGGAAAGGCACCGACCACTGTAACACACATAAGAGCAAACGCAATGCAAACCATCACATCACCTCTTGAGATGTATTGGCCCATGTTCACAATGACTGAGGACTCCAAGCTCATGCCAAAGGCGAAGAAGCACATAACTCCGATAGTAGCGTAGACAGAGAAGCAAATCAAAATCGTCCAAGCAACCACGGGGAGGAAGCGGCGAGGACTGGAGTCACGAACTTGGATGTAGACCTCAGGAACATTGGGTTGGTTACAATAAGCAAACGTGTAGGTGTTAATAGCCGCCATCAGACTAGTCCAACCATTCACTGGAGAGACCATGGACGACGGAAGTTCATCAGACACACCATAACGACTAAGAACATAGATAGACGTCAAAGACAGGAAACAGACCCCGATAACGCCCAAGAAGGTCACATAACGGATTTCGCTTATGTGTTCCCTCATCGACAGTGGTAGGAGAACTAGTGCTGCTGCAATCGCAGTGAAGGGTACACGATGCACCCACAGACTCAGAAACCAATTGTCAGGGTTAGGACCAATGATGTGGATCAACACGGGAGAAAGGATATCAAACAAGGTGATCATGTAAGTGACGCAAGTACCGAAACAGAATAGAACCATGACCAAGTCGAATACATATCCCACCCGCTTCCCGAAAAGATGGTCTAACAGCTCCTCATAAGTCGGCTTTCCGGTAACATGGCAAGCCTGTGTTATCATCACTATTGACAGGAGAGATAGAACGCCCATGGCGAGTAATAGGACGAGGCCACCAAAGATCCCCGCATTGAGGATAGAGATAGGTACCGCCAGAGCCCCAGCACCTAACGTAGCTGCTGCCAAATTGAAGACGGCGCTAAACCGTCCATCAGGAGCGATGATGTGACCGCTACGTGCTAAACGATGAAAAACAGTATTGGAAGAGGGCTTGGCCTCTACACGAGAATCAGAACCCGTGACCACTTTTTCGGTAGAGGTACCGTGCTCTAACCCAGAAGTGGGGGTGGACATTGCCGGGAAAAGTGAGGAAAGCTGTTCAGTTGATATTCAACACTCACATGTCGTCCACGTTGTATTCAATATTTCCCGAAGAGAACGCTACAAGCTGTCTTGAACAACCCTAGAGGAGCTAGAACAAGCAGCACTGTCCCACACAGCTAGACGCAAACAACAACACCTACCACAGAGGGGGAGCTAAGTACGGTTCAATCACGAGTAAGTTAGAGTTGATTGAGCCCACCGATTCGCCGTATCAAACGTGCGTCAAATTGGTAGCTTGCGCGGAGGGGCCGCCAAACTTCGGTATGCAATGATCATACTTTCGTCTCGACTACATTCTCGTGGCCAGCTCTGA